TAGGTACACTTCAATTTTCGTACCCCTTTTTTTTAAAATAGGCTCATAGGTAGGGGTTTTTGAAATACATAGTAACGTTTTATTTTAACAAGAATTGAATTGCTATAAAAATATTTATCTACAAGCGTGCGGTAACTAAGGTATATTACACGATTTTGCGTGCGGTAAGTACCATTTTATCGCACGGCGTGCGGTAATATTATTACCGCACGCTCTACCTACATAGGTACGTACCTTTAATTACCTACCAGAGATAAATTACCTACCTAAATTCTATTTGTCCACTGTCAAAGGTAGCAGACGCAATTTTATTTTCTATAATTTTTTAAACTTCTTTCCGATATTTTGTTACCGCACGCTTGTAGATAAAATGCTGTTATAATACGTATGGTAATTAGGTTATTACCGCCCTTAGAGATTGCAAACCTCGCCTCACCGGCTCGGTTTGCAAATTTATCTCGCGTGCGGTAATAACCTAGTTACCACACTTATTATATAATATACTATTAAATATTCACCAACATAATATTGGCTTGTAATTTATTAATTTTTTTTTTTCCAGTATGGTTTTGGACTTCCAATGGTCATGCCCCCCATCTGACCTTCTCTATATCAATGATTATACCAATCTTGCTTCAATCCATTTACAAAATATTATCCAGCTGATTGCTTTTTGAGATAAATTAAATATAGTTCTATTTTATTGCTCTCTGAAATGTGATAAAAAGAAAACATTGTTCAGTGTTTCATAGCCAGTACTGTTTGATGTCGTGTTATGTCGTTTATAAGATTCTAGGTCTTAAAGGTAGGTATTGTTTAGGGGATGAAAGGTGAAAAATAGTGAATTTGAAAAAAAAATCACTTGGTTTGCTCAGACTTAAATTACATTAAAAGAAAATTGAACCCCCAAAACCATATCTACCAAGGGGTGACCCAAAATTGTGCCTCAGTGGAAAAATACACAAAATGTATACCTATATTTTTTGGCTCACCCCTTCATATTATTATTGTTAATATTAAGTATATTGTATATAAATTGTTAAAGTTTATATTTTCCTTAAAAAATAACTAATTTTTCAGTGTTCATAAAGCCCAAGTGGAACATAGGGCGGCTGCTAATAATACTTTTATATGGGATTAAATAAATTTATTGCATTTCGTGAATTGTTTCATTGAAGTGGTCTCTCCAAACAAACCATTATCAGTTATTCATAATAATAATAATAATAATAATGCTTTATTGTCAAAAAAATTATAACATAATTTGTAGACTAAGCCTTAAAGTTAAAAATACATATTATATACATCTACATGTATACAAAGTCAAAATAAAATGATATAAACATAAACAAATATAACATGAACAAATACAAAAATGAACAAATTACCTATAAACTATGATCCAGTGTGTGGAACGCTCAAAATTAAGTCAGAAAAAAGTCATTTACTTTATAGAAGGCTCTCTCTGATAAATAGGATTTTAGAGCTATGCGAAATTTAGGAAGAGATGCTATGGACTTGATGACTACTGGCAGATGATTGTGCATTTTTTTTGCGTTGTATAGAATGGAGCTCTTAATTAACTCGGAGGATGGAGTTGGCAGATAAAGATCATGCTCCGCGTTTCTAAGTGGATAGTTATGCAATGGCCTTTCTGAAATACTGGGTAGGTGTTTGCGGATAAGGCAGACTGATTCTAGTATGAAAAGGGAAGGAAGTGTTAATATTTTATATTTTTTGAAAAAATCTTGGCAATGAGCTCTATTTTTTAATTTTAGGGAATATCTAATAGCTCTCTTTTGTAATTTAAAAATACGGTCAAATTGAGTCGCACAGCACGAACCCCAGAATGGAAGGGCGTATCGAAGATGTGATTCAAAAAGGGCAAAGTAGACTGTTCTAGAAGTTGACAAGTTGAGTTCCTTGGAAACTGATCTTATCGCAAAGCAAGCGGAACTTAATTTTTTTGATAAAGAATCGATGTGCGAATTCCATTTTAGGGATTTGTCTATAATAAGGCCCAAAAACTTTACGGAATCAACGACGTCAATAGTAGTAGTGTTATTAAGTACAATAGGTTGCATCGTACTTCTATATGATAGAACTTTTGTTTTCGCAGCGTTGAAGCAGAGGAAGTTAGAGTCGCACCATGTTTTAATAGCCAACAAGTCGATGGACATGGTTCTATGAAGAGCTACAATATCCGGGTTGCTCCAAGTGAAACTAGTATCATCAGCAAAAAGACAGATTTTACCGCTGATGTCTAGACTAGCAATATCGTTGATAAACAGCAAAAATAATATTGGACCCAACACGGAACCCTGTGGAACTCCACATTCTATTGGCTTGCATGAAGATGTCGTCGTATCAACCCTCACAAGCTGTTTTCTGTTGTTAAGATACGACTTGAACCATTCCAGAGGAGAGCCTCGAATTCCATAATGCTGCAATTTGTTAATTAGGATATTATGACTTACACAGTCGAATGCTTTAGAAAAATCACAGAAAATTGATGCTGTGGAGTGCAAATTGTTCAAGCTAGAGAAGACATTATTGAAGACAGAGAACATAGCATCAATAGTGCATTTGTTGGTTAAAAATCCAAATTGGTGGATAGTTAGTATATTATATTTATGCAGAAATGATAGAAGCCTTTTCTTAACCAATCTTTCAATGATTTTGGATAAAGTAGGAAGAAGTGCAATTGGACGATAGTTCGACTCTTGGTCCTTATCACCTCCCTTGTGCAGAGGAATAATTATAGCCGTCTTGAGGCAATCTGGGAACACTCCTTGTTGAAAAGATTTATTTATTAAAGCAGTGAGGAGATTTAATGTACACTCCGGTAAATTGAAGAACATTTTTAAAGTTAGTCCATCAGTCCCAGATGACACTTTGTTTTTTATGTCTTTAATTGTGCTGAAAAGCTCTAGTGTTTCTACGGGTGTTAGGAAGAAACTGTGTAAATTCATATTGGTACTGGAAAGATATGAAAGCGGATCGCGAGAAGGAGCTATAGTGGTCATTAAATTTTTTGCCACATTTACAAAGTAGTTATTCAAGTTCTCAGGGGAAGTAGAGGTTATACTGGAAGAGATAGCCTTATTTCTCAAGTCGTTGACAATAGACCACGTTTCTTTGGCAATATTTTCAGTTCTAGCGAACCGGTTGTTATAATAGGTGTCTTTGGCGGCTTTTATAGTTTTATGATAAATTTTTCTATAGAGTTTAACGTAATTTTGAAAGAAGAGACTGTCTGAAAATTTTTTTAGGTGTGACAATGAGCGCATGTTCTTTGCCGATGTCCTCAAGCCTTTAGTAGTCCAGGGTTTATGTTGCTTATTTTTGATAGGCCTGAGGGGAAATGCTTTGAAAGCCAAACCAGATAATTTATTTGAAAATGTTGAAAATGCATTATTGATGTCATCAGAGAGGCAACCCCAGTCAATTGTTTGACATGAGCGCTTGAAATTGAGGAAATTTTTTTCCGAATAAATTCGGCGAAACTTACGTGGGGCAATCCTGGTATTGCTCTTTAGAGAAAAGTTTGTGAGTACTGCTTCATGATCTGAAAACCCTGAACTTAAGACAGTACAGTCAACAAAGCTTGGATCAAAAGATGACACGACGTAGTCGATAGTGCTAGATCTGGTTTTAGTTATTCGGGTTGGAGATTGAACATGCATGACCATACCAAAAGAGTCAAGTATAGACTGGAGAGAATCTTGAGCAGCACACACACTGGAAAAATCTATGTTAAAGTCGCCACATAAAATTAATTTACTCTTAAGAGGGAAAGACTCAAGCAAGCTTAGTAAGTTTTGAAAAAATGTAACCAAGTCAGCGTCAGGTGTTCTGTAAATACAAACAATGTAGAGGTCGTAGATATTGTTGTAGACTATAGAAAATTCGAATAATTTTTCAGATAATAAATTGTCGAACTTGGTTATCGCCGAAAAGTTGTTATTAGTGGACATTATTACAGTACCTCCATGAGATAGTATACTTCTAGTATACCTAGATACTGTAGTGTAGTTTTTGACAAACACAGGCTCGTCAATATTGAGCCAATGCTCTGTTATGGCAATAATTTCTGGAAAATGTAGGTGTTCTAATAATAAATATAATTCATCGGTTTTGTGTCTAATGGACTGAATATTGATGAGAAATACACTAAGCTTGCTATCGTTAATTGTTTCAGAGGGTGCTTGTTCCTCTATTCGCGTCAAGGTATCTAAAAATTTTTGTTATTTGGAGAACCACCAGAAAAGTACTTAGAATGACTCTCCCTAATTTTTTGAAGCTGTTGGATTTTTTCCGAAGAGAAAAACGATCTGAAGGCAGAAAGATCCGCTTCAACTTCAGTCGAATCGATGCCATAGGCGCTGTGGAAACGATAATACAGCTTGCGTAAGGAATCCACGTCACTCGGTAGGCCCTCTGATGCTAACGCTAATTTAATGCTGGTGTTGGTGTAACCTTCAAAACACACATTGGGGGGCTGGTCGTGGAGATAGGCTAGGTAAAGCCTAAGAGTTTTTAAGATGGAAGGGTCTCTCAATCTAGCCAGTAGATAGCGTCCATTTGCTATATCGGAGTTTCGCGATATTCGCACTATAGGTGGGGTCATCGGGTCAAAATTGAGCATTGTGTCGTTATTCACATTTGATTCTACAATAATATCAGCGTTACTTTGGTGAATATGAGACTTACATGCAGCAATGGCCTCTTCTATTCATTTGTAAAGTTGATAGGCTAATAACAAAAGTTTCGCCAGCACCCTCTACCCTTTCCAAGAAAAAACTCTGGAAATTTCGATTCAAAACAAAGCATCCCTTTCAAAGCAAAATGGAAAGTTTTCCTGAACATTTCTATAGCGCCCTCTCTACTTTACACTGACAAACAATGGAAATAAATTCTCTGAATCCATATTCCCAGTCAATATTCGTGAGTATTCTATTTTAAGAAAACCTTGCATATCGATTTTGATCCACATTTTCTTTTATTGGTGTGGAGCAAACATGAATCAATAGCCAGAATTGCAGGAGGAATTTATGTGAGTGTTTTAAGGGATAACAGAAGTAAGTAGTTCTTTATCGTTTCAAATACTCTTTTTGCTATTTAACGTAAATAATTCAATTAGTGTAGGTACTTATTATAATTTAATTAATGCATTCAAACCTTCAAACTCACTACGCTATTTTTTATTGTGTGCTTGTAGTAGGTACCTAATGAAATAACTTCACGAAATTAAAATTTGAATTACAAAGCCTTATTTGGTAAGTAGGTACCTATGTATCATTAATATTTTTATAATGTATATGCATTTATTTGCTGAGGAATATGTCACATTCTCATCACACTGTTTGTGAAATAAAGCAAATATTTTACATTAGATATTGTATGTCGATTTTTCTACAATTTTAAATTACATGTCTGGCAAGTCAACATCTTACGGGCCAATTTCAATTCAATAGAATGCAATGTCCAAAAACATTCTTAGATTGAATAGAGAACGAAAATGATTTTCCTTGTTCCACCTCCAGCATGGAGCACTGAGATAGGGGAAATTGTTTTCAATCTCTATTTAACCTTAGACTTTCTTTAGACATTTCATTCTGTTGCAATAAGATTGGCCTATAAGATGTTCACTTGCCAGAACGGTATATGAGTGAACCACCTTCTAATTCATTTCAGGATATCAAATGGACCTCCTAGAAACTTTGATAATATCATCAGAAAAAGCTGCAAACATCGCAAGACTGTTAAGGCAAAATGAAAAATTGTTTGAAAAACTTGTGGAACAAAAGTCGACGAAAGAAGCCAACCCCAGGTTTCAGCAGGATTTCAAAACCTTAGCTGACGTGTTAATACAGGAAATGGTTAAGCATGATGTCGGATTAAAGGTGAGGCTTAAACCGTGCTAAATTATCACTAATAATTATTTGTCTTTATTCAGTTTCCTTCAATCCGTGAAAAAGTCTACGGAGAAGAATCCAATATGTTTTTCAGTAAAGAATTAAATAAATATATTTTAGTGGAAGTTAAAGAAAGCCAAGAGGCAACAGCTGCATTGCTAGCAGAGTTACTAGATGATGATGAAGAAGTTGCGCAAATGCTAGCTACAGAGGTACATAGAATCATTGATATTAAAGAAGTTAAAACAAAAATTCCCCAAGGAACTATTGATATTGTTATAGATGATTTGAGTATTTGGATTGATCCCATAGGTGAAATTTTTTTGGAGATTCTAAGCAATGTGTTTTTAATATGTAGTTTTAGATGGAACAAATGAATATGTTAAAGGAACTTATGAGACTAAAACTGGAGATTTCTACACAAAAGGGCTTAAATGTGTTACAGTTTTAATTGGAGTTTATGACAAGAATGGAGAACCTGTTATGGGAGTTATTAATCAGCCTTTTTTCGAGCAAGAAGATCAAGGGTAAGAGAGTGATAATTCGTTTGTGGAACCATTATGTGAATTCAATTATAGCTATCAATGCCATTGGGGCATATGCATTCAAGACAAATATAGGCTATCATCAATTAACGTATCGGATTTGAAACAAACGAATATAGTTTGTATAGGTGAAGGTGAAAGTGCGGAGATTAAGACGACCCTTGAAAATGGAGGGTTTGATTTGGTTGTTTCGAGAGGAGCTGGATACAAGCTACTCACGGTAGTTCTAGGTGATTGAACTTTCGAATGAACAATACTTCATAAAGTTGATATTCTTTTCTAGGTTTAGCTGATGCTTATATTCTGTCTAAACCCTCAACATTTTTTTGGGACACTTGTGCTCCACAAGCCATTTTAAGAGCCTTGGGTGGTAATATTGTTGAAATGAACGGAATTGTGACTCTCCAAATGAAGCAGTGTTTAACATATAATAATGATAAGGGTGGCTCTAAATGTAATTCAAAAGGAATTATTGCTTATAGAAATGAAGCTGTTCTGGAGAAACTCATGAAGTTTAAATGGACTAACTAGATGTATATTGCCAAATAAAGATTGTTATATTTTTGTGTGTGTTTTATTTGTAACTATCTTATAATAGTTATTTGTATAACAAGGCCACGAAATGCTTTTTTAGCGTACGGAGAGAAAAGTTATAAGATAATCTCGAGGACGCTAAAAAGTTACGTGGTCATGGTATAGACACTATTTTTTGTGCAACTATGGAAATTATGTACCAGTTACAGAAAAACTGTATGAATTTGACAAGGATTTGACACATTTTGCACGAAGGTGTGGCGGTTTCTATTGCAGAAGGTTTCTATATCTCTGGACTTTCATGGTGAAGCGTACCTAACTGTATAATTTTACAATAATTATAAAAGATCTCTCCTACGCTCTAAATGCAGATGAGTCCCAATGCATTTTACCGCACATTGATTGAAGGATATAAATGTAACTTCTATGCACTGTGTCCGGAATAACTTGGAAGTAGTTACATGGGAATTTTGAAAACCATCGAAGATACAGGGTGGACCAAATGGGGAAAAAGTTGCGCAATCAAGTGCCTACAAATAATCTATCTTCAACTCATTTGAACTCGCAATACCAACGGATATACAGGGCAAAAAAAGAAACACGTGCGTTTCATAAAATCCTTGTATTGTACATCATATGTACAGGGTGATCCAAATTGGACACTTTCTTATGGAAACACCCTTTATTTTTAGAGATAGGAAAAAAGATTAACTCTGGTGTCTATGGAGCTCAAATCTAATGAGAAAATCAATGGCGGAAACATAATTCTGCTATCTCTAATCGTTAAGCCGCTAGAGGGCGTTGTTCCCAAGATCCCAAAGGTTGATCTCGAAAAACGGACATATTTAACCTAAATATAACAAGTGATATATCAAAATTTAGGAAATTTTATCTTTTTAGAAACCGTAAAATATATAGGGTGGTCCGTATGAAAAAAATGAGCTTGGTGTCGTATTAAAGAAACCAAACACCCTGTATAAAAACTGTTTATTGCAATGGATTCTAAATAAAAACATTTTGCCATAATAGTGATCTTTAATAATTAGAAAGTTATGGGTCATCGAAGAAATGGGCAATTGATGGCCATTGATATTGTCGGATCTGGGAGTTATGAGGGGGTGAGAATTGAAACTAGAGCCTAGTACAAAAAAAAAGGTACTTTATTTAAACCCTCAGAACATGAAAAAAAAAAATCTGCATAGGTTCTTCCTATACTATACAGTCTATACTTACATACTATATGTACCTACAGTATTACTATGCTAAAATATAAGTAAAAGATCACAAAAAAAACAAGCAGAATTATTATTAGAGAAAGTGATTAGGTATTGATTTTTGCTCTAAAGTGACGTACACTAAGATCTTTCAAACTGGCTGGTATATCATTATAAATTGTGATACCTTCACAATAAACTGAGTTCTTGCCCATATTACTGCGTATCTTTATTTTTTCCAAGTGATTGTTTGTTCTTGTGTCGTAACTATGAATATTATTTCTGATAATAAATATTATTGATGAGTGTTTGTCCTTCTTTATCACTGCATGAATAAAATTACACACCTGAATTTTATAAATGATTTCCAAATTTTTGATGTTGAATTTTTTATACAAAAGGTTAGTTGAGAATCTCCTAGGCAAGCAATGCAGGTTTTTTATTGCCATGTTCTGTAAAATCATAAGTGGCTTGATGAACTCCTCCTTGTGGGAAACCATATAGCCGCCACGTATTGGAGGTGGCAGTGAATAAATGAGAAATACAATGGTCTCAAAAACCTTTTTGGTACGATACAACTTAGTCTTCTCAATACTCCAATAGGAGCCCGAATTTTTTTTCTAATATATTCCGTGTGGTATTCCCAAGACAAAGTTTCATCCAACCATAGCCCTAGGTACTTAAACTTAATTTGTTAAGAATAGCAAAATTCGCCACCGCTAACCAGCAAGGGATTCGAATAATGGATTTTTCGCAGGGAGAGGAACATATAGTTGGATTTTTCAATGTTTAAGGTTAATTTATGTGCATCAAGGTATGATAATGTTCAAGTCACAAGTCATTCTTTGTTGCAAAATCTCCAAAGAATCATCAAAATAAACCAACATGGTGTCATCCGCATACAGGCTAAGATATTGAGCTTGGAGATTGAATTTATGTACCTATATCAAAAAGAGGGTAGGCCCCAAAATTGAGCCCTACGGAACGCCACATTTAATACTTTTTTGTGAGCTTTTGTTATCTTCCAAAAACACAAACTGTCCCCGCTCTGACAGGTAACTAGAGAGCCAACCATAAGTCTTCCACGATATGCCAAGTTTTCGCAGCTTAAGAAGAAGTATCTCATGGTTAACTGTGTCAAACGCCTTCCGAAGGTCAAGATTTTTTTGTATACCGCTTACTAGATCCACTGTTGCCGAAGCGGTTTCACTGGGCTCCCGGAAGCCATATTAACACAAGTACAGAAAATTTATATTATTCAAGAAACTTACAAGCTGAGAGTTTACAATCCTCTCCATAATTTCTGACAGTACGGGTAGCACACTTATAGGTCTATAATTGTTTGGATTCTCTCTATCACCTGATTTGAAGAGCCACTTTCATTGATTTAGGCACAATACCACTAGTAAAGGACTGATTAAACAACTTACTCAGCAAACTAATCAACTAAAATCTGCACTGTTTAACAGTCTTAATGTCTATGTCATCGAAACCTGATGCCTTGTTTGAGTCCAGACCATTAATAACACTCAAAACCTCTGAGAAGTTGGCCTCCATCAAAACCTTCTCGTGATTTCTCTTTGTTAAGATCCATTGTTGAAGGTTTGATTTTTGATGCCAAAGATGCTGCCACGCTGATAAAGTAATCATTCATGCTCTCGCAAATGTCAGCAGCGTTGACAAAACTTTGATTTCCAACTTTCAGTGATGTTATGGTTCTAATAGAAAGAACCAACTCGTATTTTTATTGGAGATAATTTGGTTTATCACTTTCCACTCTTTTTTAGCATTTCCTCTAACTCTTCCAAATTCAGCTTCATAGAAGTCCTTTTTTGCTGTAGCGATAACCCTTTTCAGTTTTTTTTGGGAGTCGATGCATTTATTTTTTAAGTGGACATTGTCTGGATATTGCCTACTTTTTCTATAGTAATAGTCATTGGAAGTAATGGCCATTTTTACATCGGGGGTGAACAATGGTTTGTGTTTTTATTTATCTTGATTTGTTTTTGCGTGTAAACTGTATTTTTTTTTAAAACAAGTGACAATAGCTTCGTACTTATCATCCACGCTTTTACTAACATCATAGATTTTGTTCAAGGAATCAAGATCTCTTCGAATTTTTAGGATATCGAGTGTTTTTTTGATGCAGACCTTGTAGCGCTGCTGCGGAGTGCTTCTTTCCAGGAGGAAAAACTGCAAATCATGATCGCTAATATCAGACTGTACTATAAAAAGTTCACCCTGGGTATTATGTATATTTGTTATTATATGATCAATTAGACTTTTCGATTTCCTAGTGGGCAGGGTAGTGTTGCAGAGATAAAATCCATTAGACAAGATGATATCTTTGTATTTTTCGCAGATAATTGTCTTTGTTAGTAAATCGATATTTAGATCACCGAGTAAGATGAGGTTTTGATTCCTAAGGTCATGTAGCTTATTCTGCAATATGCTCAATGTGTCATTCACATTATTTTTACTGTTTGAAGGATTATAGATTGCTTCTATATGGAGACGGACATCTTCCAGGTAGATCTGAAGGTAGTTTATATTATTTGATTCATAGTTCCTTACGAAATTGAATTTTAAATCACTTTTACAGAAAATTGCACATCCTCCGCCTCTTTTAGTTCGGGATGCTAATGTTACTTTATAGTTGGGAAGATTATAAAACTTTGCTTCCTGAGACTTTACCCATGTTTCACTCACCACAATAACATGAACGCCTCCCTCAATTTGAGCCAGGTGTCAGGTGTGCTTCTATAGAGTCTAATTTTTTTTTACAGATCTCGCATTCAAATATAAAATATTGAAGTTTTGTTTTCGATGTTTTAAGTAAGATGACAAGTTCATGAGACTACACTGAGATGCGTTGATGTGCGTTTTAATTATCTGTTGATCCATCAAGGTCAATGGTTTGAACTTTGCTTTCGATACTCACTGCCTTGTGCTACAGGCTTTCTACCTGTTCACAGTTTTCAATACGTATGACCTTTGACGAATCCGATTGTCGACAAAAGACCTTTTCATCCCTAACCTAGACATACTTAAAGTTGCTATATTTCAACATTCTAGCTGTGTTGTGAATCGTCCTGAGATCCTTTGGTAGACCTTCAGTAACAAATACTGGCCGTTCATCACCAGGAAGTCCCAACTCAGTGGATGTTATTTTTCCTTTTGCTTTTCAACTCACCAATATTTCATCACTTTTTGTCTTTGAGGATAGTTTAAGAAGAATTGTTTTGAAAGGCATTTTAATGGGCAGTCGGTCACTTTCTTCATGACATTTCTGACCCGCTTTAAGTTTATCATTCTCAACCTGAAGATGGGTAACCTTATTTCTGCTCATTTTTCAACTTTTTGTTCTCTGCCAACACTGACTTGATTGTTTTCTGGAGGTCCCTAGGGTGTTATTTGAAAACTGCATATATTTTTCAAGGTCGTTAAATTTATCCTGAAAAATCTTTTTCACTTCAAGCACTTCCGAGTTAGCACAAGATTTTATTTTTTTCTGGTTTGATTTACGTATTATTGCATTTTGATTTTGTTTACTTTTTGATGATTTCCGGCCTATAGTACGTGAATAGGTTTCTTCCTGCTCACCTGAGCTACTACTGCCATCAGAGCGATTAGAAGAAGAGCTACTTTTTTGACGTATTCTTGTTAATCTGTGGTTGACCTAACTTTTGCATATTGTGCAAAAATATGAGGTTTTTTCACTTTTTATATTTTCCATGTCGCTCGAGCCCAGTGCATTTCAGATGCATCCAGACACCGCATTCACCACTCCAAATAGGAAAGTGTATTTGAAGTAAAGTTTACCACAAATACAGGGACTGAAAGGCATTATTATTACTGACTAACTAACGCAGTTAATTCTCGACTTGTAGGCTACCCCCTCATCTTCCAAAAACCATTATTTTATAATAATACCGCGACCCTGGTGCGTGATCGCTGATTATACCAATTACCGGTGAATCGTCGTTGACATTGACCTTCCATGGGTTCAGGTTCCTCATGTAATTCAATAATTCGTTCAACTTGCAACCGAATGTTATTTAAACGTGATCAATGATTTTCCTAAAACCCATGAACTTTTTTTGGAAGACGATTGGGTTTAATTAACCGAAGGGAGATGCCCTATTCACCTAGATACGACAATATTCTCATTGATTTTGAGCTCCAGACACCCGGGTCCATTTTTTTCTATCTCTAAAAATAAAGGGTGTTTCCATAAGTGTCCAATTTGGACCACCCTGTACATTGCATCCAGTCCTATACCCACCCTGGAAATTTCTTGATTGTATTTTTTAAATTGAACAAGATATAAAGAATTTCATAAAACAAACTTTTTTCTCTTTTGTCCTGTATATAAGTTGCTGACAAATTATTTGTGGGCACTTGATTGCGCAACTTTTTCTCCATTTGGGTCACCCTGTATCTGCTATGCTATCCAAAATCCCCATGTACTTCAAGTTATCCCGGACACCCTGTATAACTGCTAAAAAAATACCTCAAACAATTATGTATTTTATAAAATAGAAATAAATTTCAAATCCACGACGAAGTGAAATTATAAAAAAAAACCCGAGTGAAAATCGCTATAACCAATATTGACAAGTTCTGTTTAACATCCAGGAAAATCGCCATGAAATGATGAAATTATCCATAATAAGGCTTGTCAAGCACCAACGCTTTGCAAAAATTATTATTTTCCGTGTGGTGAATTTAAAACTAATTTCATTCCCTTACTTTTCTTCTTCCCGTCAAAAATTTATATAAAAGAACGGCGGCTCACTACTCAGAAAGCCAGTTGTTGTTTTCATTTTCTTTGCCGAACTTCTCGAGAAGTATTCGGAGGTAAGAGACTTCTATTTCGTTGATTTTTACTATTGATATTTAGATTTTCTTTGATAAATTTGTATTTTGGAACAAGGAAAACCATTCCTCTAAAAAAAATTATAAAGTTTTTACAAAATTGTTCAAGTAGGTATGTTTTTATACAACATAAAAAAAAGAAGCCAAGTTCAGATTTTTTTGAATATTGAAACCTTTTTCTACTAGATGGGCGGCTATGGAAATTTGGAAGGAAACTGATTGTTTGTTTATATAAATCATGGTAATCAGATTTCCATAGCCGTAGTTGGAAATATTTTTAAAATCCCTATTAAATGGACATTATTTGTTTTTCTAGAAAGAAAATGAAACATTTCATTACGTTATTCTATTTATTTATGGTCGCCTATTTGTTGTCCATATGTCAAAATATGAAGTACGTTATGAGCGCTCCTACTCATGGGAATATGGAGAATTCCGGAAGTAGATCTAGAGGGTTTTCCAGATATTATTCTAGAGGCGTTCCCTATGGGCCAGCAAAGAATACAGATACGTTTCTCAATGAATTTAATGGTAAGAACTTGTTTGTTTGATCGTATTCGACAGCCACTTATTTATTATAATTTATAAATTTTATTTTAGAAATCTGTAAATCATGTTTGACTGAAACCAATTATTTTTCATGTAGCTCAGTTCCAGCTTCTTGTCTCCATCCTTCTGTTGCGTCCTTCACCAATTTGTAATTTCAACATGTTGGATCACGCGTGCTGGTCAATACATATAGAATCAGAGTCAATTTTTCGTTGACAAATGTGCTTGAAACCATCCTCTGCTAACTTCGACTTTCTGCGATAACTCATTTCTGAGAAAAAATAGCGAACATTCTGAAGTACGATTGCTTCGGAAATTGGTGCATGTTTTGCTCTCTTGTAAAAATCATATACTAATGTAGGTACCTACTACATCTTCCAGCATCAAAACATATGCGCATCGTTTTTCTCTTTCCCAACACTTTTTGAGTACACGACAACGAAGTTTGTTATTTTTAAGTTTTTTTGTGACCTATCTTTCTGGAACAAAAATAATCTTCTTTTTTTTTTCTAGATGATGACGACATATTTGACCTGTCAAAACGACAACATTCCCCCAACTCTGACGACTATGGACATCTAAGATTTGGCAAAAGAGACGAACAATTTGATGATTACGGTCACATGAGGTTCGGTAGAAATGGCGGCGATAAAAAGTAATGAGAAGGCTTGAATTTCGGCAAAAAATACCTTAGTAATAATTTTTTTGGAAGCATCAAAAATTTAGGACAATTGATATTATCATAAATCAATTTGAGTGAGAAAATGTATCTGGAAAATATATTTTATACCTACTGTTATTTAATAATAAATAAAGCAGAATCCTGAATAATTAATTTTTGTATCACGCTGTATATTGAAGGCAGCCCCCTCATTCATTAAGAATCCTTTTCAGTGCACTCTGTAAGAAGGCTAGAGAGTTCCTTTATATAATTTATACCACCATTGAAGCCAAACTTGTACTGTTAATCCAATAATTGTTTTAATTTCCTTATCTCAGTTTCCTGGTGTATATTTTTAGTTCAATTTATTCGTCATGGCTGAATGGCTGAAAAATCAATACGATATTAATTTTAGAAGTAATATTATTAATGTGTCAATGATTAAATCGTTTTTCAAAAAAACTAACGACAATAGTGATGCTAATCATATTTTGATTGAAGATTGTGATTATTATGGTGCAAAGAGGACTTGTATAAGTAATAATAATAGGCAGAAGCAGTCATCAGTTCATACCAAAGCAATAGTTATATTTAAAAATAATATCAATTCTAATAACGACATTAAGAAAAATAATGTTAATATTAAATTTGTGGAAAACGAGAAAACTGTATGGAGGAGATTGAGTTTGCAGAGTTTTAAAAAAAGGAGGCAGAGGAAGATTGAAGAAAAATCTAAACCAATGATACCTCTTGTATTGCGGACTTACGATAAACGAGGGGATGTAATTGTATCAAGAAGCAATGATGAATGCTGGTACTAGAAAAGACTGAATTTATGGGTTAGTTTATAGTTCATCTAATAATCTACCTATACTTTAGGTTATTTTTTTTTGTTAACTTACCGTAGGTATACAGAATAAATTATAATGATAGCCTGAAACCTTTTTTTTAATCACCCAGGGTTATTGAAAACTCTACTACAATCATGTATATTTTTCTATTATATTATAGCTAAATACGTCAATTAATTTGAATACTCACATATTTGATTTGGGTATCTAGAGTGGAGTTAATAGTCGGAAACCAAATGTCTATCATGACATATTAATCAAATTATGTAAAATGCTAAATGTTACTGTTTTTCTTTTTCTTTTAAAATTATCGCCTTGAATGCTGACAGTCTGGTGACTGCCATTATTGAAAGAACTTAAAAAAAGATTTCTTTCAAAAGAAATTATTAACCTAGAGGGCATGATTTTCGTTCAAATTTGAAATACCAGTTTGGTACCAACACTTTCCGTTGGCTTTTTTTGAAGGGAAGCTCTGCTTGTTCAGCTTGTTTTTTCTTCGTCCCTTTCAAATTTTGCCGTTCACCCTGAAAGGTCGACGCTGGCCTGGGAGCAGCCATCTTCCTGAATTGTAATTACCGTTTTATTCAAGTTTGAATTTTGAACCTCCTCGTCGTAAGCCCTTTCCAATTTTTTTTTTTGTAATGGTTATTCATGGAAATCTAATTCATGACCAATTATCATAATTGATTGAATTTTTATCGACATTACATCCAAATACATATTTAAAATTTCAATTTCACATTCTTGACACCGAAGTGAACTTTAAATGATTATTTCCGATTTTTGATTTATCGAGTTTTTTATAGATTTATTTTTACTACACGTCAAAAATTGATCAATTTTTGACGTTATAGGTACTTACTCAATAATTTTAAATTTACAACCTTATTATTTAGGGAGAAATTCATTTTTACAAAGCTCACATTTCTAAAAAACACCATTTTCGTGGAGCTTGGGTCTAAGGCTCATAAAGTGATTTCCTAGAGGAATCAAGTCCCTTACGTGTCGATACCTATACCTCCACATTTACCGAAGAAAACTGATTTTCTAACCTCTCTCTATCTACCTTGATTCCAGGCTAGAATCTGCAACTTCCCTCGTCAAGTGACAAAAAAATGGATGGCCACCGTACTCTGCCTTTTCGTTGGAATTGAGGCTTGTATAGAGTTTCAATTATAACTTTTTTCTCCAAACGTCAAAAAAACGTCACTTGGTTAACAAAGTGACGAGACAAGAAACTTAATTTTTATGCTGCTTGGCAACCCCAGCGGCAGCAAAAGTACTTTTAGTGCCGCTCGTACTTTTAGTGCCGCTCAACATTCACTTACCCCCGAGCTCACCTCATTCGTTTGGAGAAAAAATAGCGTGTTGCATAGGTACGAAGTAGAAGCATTTTTTTGTGCATCACCATTTGTATAAAATTTATTTTATGACCAATTACCATAATTGATTGAATTTTTACCAACATTACATTTAAATATTTAAAATTTCAATTTCACATTCTTGACACCGAAGTGAACTTTAAATAATTATTTCCGATTTTTGATTTATCGAATTTATTATAGATTTATCGTTGCTTTACTCTCGGTACCGCTATGTTTAAATTTTTTTTATATTTTATTAATCATAATCATTAATCTGAACTAAGGTCAAGGTTGGACAACATGTTCTAAATTTGAAATTATTGAGTAAGTACCTTTAACATCAAAAAATGATCAATTTTTTACGTGAAGCAAAGATAAATGTAAAAAAAAATTCGATAAATCAAAAATCGGAAAAAATTATTTGAAGTTCACTTCGGTGTCAAGAATGTGAAATTGAAATTTCAAATATTTGTAATGTAATATCGGTAAAAATTCAATCAATTATGATAATTGGTCATAAAATAGATTCCATAAAAAAGGTAATAAAAGTTATAATTGAAATTCTATACAAGCCTCAATTCCAACGGAAGGTGGATTACGGTAGCCATCTATTTTCTGCAATTTGACGAGGGAAGTTGTGAATGAAAGTTGCAGATTCTAGCCTTAAATCAAGGTAGATAGAGGCTAATTAGAAGTTCTCAGTTATCGTCAAATGTGGAGGTACAGGTGGCGACACGTGAGGGACTTGATTCCTCTAGGAAATAAATTCAAAAGCTCTATGCCCAGAGATGTGAGCTTGTTGAGAATGGATTCGTTGAGAAAAACAGCTCCTCGGAAAACCCTAAGTAATAGAGGCATTCCATGAACAACCGTTTTTTAAAAAAATAAATAAAAAGGACTTACCACCAGGGGGTTCGAAATTCAAACTTGAATAAAACGGTAATCACAAGACTTGCGATTCAATTTTTTTCGGTATTCAATGCAATTATGCAACTTTATTTCATTAAAACAGTGCCTGATGGCCGATAAGGTATTTTTCTTCACGAGTTGAGGCAAATGGCTGCCCCCCAGGCCAGAGTCGACCTATCAGGGCGATCGGCAACATTCAAAAGGGACGAAAAAAAACAAGCTGTACAAATCCTCCTTCAAAAAAAATCCAACGGAAAGTGTTGGTACCAAACTGGTACTTCAAATTTGAACGAAAAGCGTGCCCTCTAGGTTAATAATTGCTATTAATATTTTCGACAGAAATCTTCTTTTAAGTAAGTTCTTTTAATAATGGATGTCACCAGGCTGTCAGCATTCATGGCGATAATTTAATTTATAAAATAATATATGGGAAAAAGAAAAATAGTAACATTTAGCATGTTACAATTACACAAAAGAAGCTTTTTGTTTACTTGGTATCACATGGACAAAATAAATTTATTCTAGAAGTACTACAGTTGTTTAAATCATCCTTTTTTTAATTTTTACTATTTATTCAATATATCTTCTATTACTTATAGCGTCTGCTTCAAGAAACTGCATAAACTGACTTGCAGATTTCTATTTTCCTTGGTATGAACATTGTATAATACTTACTGAAAATATTCACACAGAAAACTTCCAAACTTCTCCTGCATGTTGTCAGGATGCGATACAGAACCCATAATTATGTATGGATTTTTGTAAACAGACCAGAAATCCTGTAGCAGCCGGATAGCTTCAAGATCAATATTTAGTTGAATATATTATATTATCAAGAATTACTATAGGTGACGCCACAAGCTATTTCGAATTGTCAGTTTCGCATGAGAATAACAGCAGAAGAATTTCTTCAAACAACGATTCAGAGTAATAGAAAAATACAAATATTTATATATCGCTTGGAAATGTCTGCACAAAAAAAAAATGAAAACTTTTGGGAATTCGGAAGATATATTAACTAGGAAAATAGGGAGAACTGCCTACAAAATCCTGGTATATGTGGTAATGAATGGAGATTCGGGGATGTCGGGAAAATGATTGTAGACTTTAGAAATAAAAATAGCGTACTAATTACTCAAATTTGGGAAACCATTCGCTACTACGCTAGTCCCATTATGCTTGTGAAAAAGAAAAACAACAAGACAAGAATATGTGTGGATTTTCGCGCTTCAAATTCTAAAACAATCTGAGACAGTTACCCCTTGCCTCACACACTTACGGGCTGTAAATTATTCACTACTTTGAAAATGGCTAGTGGATACCATCAGATTCCTATGGCGGAGGAGTCAAGGCAGAAAACGGATTTCGAGTATGAGTATTTTCGTATACCATTCGGTTTGGGTAACGCTCCAGCATAGTTTGAGATAACCTTGAATAAAATATTGGGCGTTATGCGATATTCTACTGTGATGGCCTATATGGATGATGTTTTGATGCCATCTACAAACTTCAATTCCGGTTTGATTGCTCTTGCAGATGTCTTGGAGTGTGTCAGAAAATCAGGCGTTACTCTTCACTCTACGACTTGAAAAATGCAAATTTTTCCAGGAAAGTATTGATTATCTAGGACACGAAATTAGTGCAAATAATGTACGATCCGGTACTGTGAAAATTCAAGCAGTAAAGAATTTTCCCATACCTTAAAATGTCCACAATGTTCGATAATTTGTTGGACTCTGCAGTTATTTCAGAAATCATTTACTCAAATCGCACGACCATTAACTTTGTTGTGTAAATTCTTTAATATATAAATTACTTCAAATACGTGTCTACTATTATTTTGGTCGTAACAAAGGATGCAATAGAGGATGAAATACTATTTCTCACTACTGAGAGGCATGGAAAATTTTATTGTGTTATAAACCTATTGCGAATAAAACTACTTTCTTAGTATATGGGTGGTAACACGAGTGCCACCATCTTTTAATAAAACTAAGGATAATGTAATAAAAAAAGGAGAGAATCTGTGAGCGATAAAAGAAGGCGATTTCGATAAACATAAATACATTACCGAAAAGAAAACGATAATATTGGGTGTGAAAAGAATTATCACAAAATTTACTCTCCGTCAGAAAATTGGAGCTAGTTGGAAAGGAAATTGTGTTTGGTAATGGAGAATTAACTGTGTGGGAGAAGATTAACAAGGTAGCGAATGTTTCTGTTGCATCATCACTGGTTCTAGTCTGTGATACATCTAAAGTAATGATGACAAGCATTTCCTAAGTAGACTCTAGTTCTAGTGATTCCTAAAGTGGACTAAGAAACTAATCAGAAGAAGCCAGTGAATGTTCAGGAATGACTACTCTGAGAATACCTGTAAATGCTGTATTCTTTAGTAGGTAGATTTGATCCACTTCAATTTTGTGTGTAAGTGGTCATCTTCGGAAAACGCATAGTATTCAAGATAAAGGCAAAACAATGGTGAACATTTTGAGGTTTTTTTCGTTGTGGAGCGGACTTTTTACAATGCATCGATTGATTGGATTATGATAAAATAAGAAAAATACCAACACATCTACAAGACTGCCAATTGAATGACGACGCTGAAGACTTGTACCTAAGTGTAAACTATACGACAGCTATTTCGGTCGAGAATTTGCCATCAGAAATTCCACTGGAATAAAGATTCAATGAAAA